TTACTAGCAATGTTCCAGATGGGGGACTGTGTTCATTTGAAATCTTGTAATATAATGTATAGGAGTCTGTTCACAGAGTGGGAGGAGCATTCACTAACCTGGTGTTAGCAGAATGAGGAAAAGGATGTGGTGATACCGAACGGACACCATCATGACTGACATCCCACCAGTTCATATGCTGCGTAATGATGTTACTTTAATTGACAAAAATCATGATTGTTCTGTCAGCTGAATCACAAAATCACAATTTATCATCTAATGCAAATATGAAACACATACATACTGAAAAAAATATTGCTGTGCAAAAGTCTTTGAAAGTCATAAATAATTTTGAAGTTGTGTATATCAGCAGCAGCTTGATATAACATTATTATAACTGCGTAATGTCAAACCAGATACAAATGTTCAAAAAACAAGGTAAAATAAAGTAAAATGTGCTGTTTTCAGTAAAGTTATGCATATACTGGCAAGAAATATAAAGTTCTTGTTTATATTAAGTAGACATATGATATATAATTTAAGATGTTTGCACAGTAATATGTAAATTGTAAACCAAACACTTATTTACTACAGTCCTGTGAAGGAGTAAGTACACCCCATGAAATGGTCCTCTTTTTAACATATTTGATCATCAGTTAAACAGTATATACAGATAAACGTTATGTAATAGAACTAAAAAAAATGTCATTTTTGTCTGTTGGAAAAAAGTGAGTACACCCCTGGCAATACCCTGGCTTCAGTAACTGGTATGGCCCCCATTGACAAAAGCAACATTATGTAGCCATTTCCTAAAACTCTCTACCAGTCTCTGACATCTAGGCTTTGACTATGCCTTTCCACACTCAATTTCCTCCTTTTTAGCCATTCCTTGGTTGGTTTACTTGAATATTTAGGATCATTATCCTGTTGAAAGGTCCACTTTTTCAGCTTCAATTTTATTTTATTTTTTCATTTCAGATGCCTAGATATTAGTCTTGCCCTGATGTTGTTTTTTGACACCAAATGCTTCCTCCTAAAGCACCTCCAATGTAGGTCAAATTTGTGAAGACTTTCTAATGGAAGATGTAATTTTACATCAACATATCATCTAAGCATGATGATACCAAGCAATCCAATAGCAAAGGATAAACAGAGCAGATACCTGAGATTTAAATAAGGCTAGATTTTCATGAACTTATGTTCTAATCATCAACACCTGATCAGGCTCGCCATATTAAAAGCGTATTATTTTGTAATATATTCAAATTCAATGCTATTTGTTTGTTTATATTTTTAAAGAATGATAATTCTTACTGCAACTGAATAAAAAATTATTCAAAAAGATTTTCTCAGACTCTTACCTCTCCTCTACTTGTCAGATGACAATGAACAGAGTTTAGAACTGATGTCTGAGGATGTGGTTAGCACTATTAATATAACCCCAGTGCATGACCATCTGGGTTTGAAGACAGCTCTGACCGACCCCGAGATTACTATGTAAAAAATAAATAAATAAATAAATAAATAAATAAATAAATAAATAAAATTGAAATGTAGGCAACAGATTTTGACCTGTGTTGCTATAAACACATACATGAGGCGAGATTGTTCTCTGCTGTTTGGACACTCAATGCAAGAAGGTCACAAACTTAGGAATCTTAGGTGTTAAAGAGTTAAAGCATCTCACACATGTTTCAGGCAGGAAGTGATCTACTTGGTTTCCTAGCAACAACTCATTGACTCATGTCTGGTCATGGGGCATTTTTTGCTATTTGTCATCATTACAGCCAAAGGCATTTAGCAAAGTATGCAATGGTTGGCCGCATTGAGGAGAAATCTGGAACCAAACTTTGTTAAGCTACCTCACAACTACTCAACTACTTTTTCCAAAATAATTCATTCTTGTTACTTTTTACTGAATGTATAAGTATTTTTTTTGAGATACTAAGTCAGCATTTTAAGAAAGTAAGTCAATAATGTTTATATTTCTAGACAATATGTCATTATTTTGAGAGACTTATATTTTGAGAGACTTATACAGATGAAACCATAAAGAATGCACACACAGTTCACTTGAACCTCAAATTCTACAACACAATGCTGTTAGCATTTTCATACTAAAATATATGTAATATTTATATATAGTGGCTGTTGTACTGTGTGACTCATTGGTACTGGCTTGTTTAGAGTTTTTCGCACTGACCTCAGTTTGTGTTTCTCTCACATGCACTCAAACCCTGTTAGCTCGCTATGCTGCATATAGTAAAGAATCACACTGAAGATAAAACCACAAAGACAAATTTCAGAAGGAAACACATCATCAGAGGATGTGGCTGTTGGCTGAAGAGCTGTGAATGTTTCATCTTTAGCATTTGTCACATCTTAGACCTCAGGTCAGCCCTTTCCTAGACCCCTTGCACTTTCTTTGACTTCTCAAGTGCAATCAGTACCATTCAGCCTGTCATGCTGGTGAATAAAATGCAAGTGGAAAAGTCTGTGATTGCATAGGTCTTGGACTACCTCTCTGGAAGACCCCAGTATGTGCAGCTGGGAACGTACCATTCAGATCATCTGGTCAGTAGCATTGGAGCACCTCAGGGAACTGTGCTCTCCCCCTTCCTCTTCCCCCTGTACACAAAAGACTTCCAATACAGGTCGGACCTCTGCCACCTTCAGAAATTTTCTGATGACTCTGTGGTGGTCGGGTGCATTAGGGATGGGCAGGAAGGGGAATACAAAGACCTTGTGAACACCTTTGTATAGACATGTGCGAGCAACCATCTGCCATGTGACCAAGACCAAGGAGATGGTAGTGGACTTCAGGAGTAATAGGACCATGGGTCAGAATGTCGAGTTGGTAGACACCTACAAATACCTGGGTGTCCTGCTTGACAACAAACTGGACTGGAGGGCCAACGCAGAGGCTGTGTACAGGAAGGGGATGAGCAGTCTCTACTTTTTGAGAAGGCTCAGGTCCTTCAATATGTGCAGCAAGATATTGGCGATCTTCTACGAGTCTGTTGTTGCGGGTACTGTCTTCTTTGCAGCAGTCTGTTGGGGAGGCAATATCAGAGGGGGAGATGCAAATTGCTCAACAAACTGATCTAGAAGGGTGGCCTTGTCTTGGGATGCTCACTGGATGGTTTTGAGGTGGTGGTGGAAAAGAAGCCACTTAGTAAACTCACTGCTATCCTGAACAGTACATCACAACCCCTTCATGACCTGCTGGTCAGACAGTGGGCCACCTTCAGCCACGGACTCATTCAACTCCGCTGTAGCAAGAAAGAGTACAGTAGATCATTTGCACCAGCAGTGATCATCTTGTACAAAACCTCTTCACTGTGGTGGGACATTATTGGAACATACTGAGCCACTAACAGGACAGGCTCAGTGAGCATCAGCTGGACATTACTACAACTCTCTACTCATATTACTATGTACTGCCACTTTGCTTATGCATCTATACATATTGCACAACTATTAGTATATTTTATTGTTCTACTGTTTACAGCACATAGTCACTCAGTTGTGTGTTTCTGCTTGGACATTTTGATGATTCACTAGATGTGACAATACACCACTGCTTTGTCACCTGCATAATATTTATGCAACTTTACTTATTTACTGCACATTTTACTTTTTAGGGTTATTTTAGGGTTGCTTTGTGCTGCTGTAATACACACCTTTACCTATCTGTACCTAATGGAAAGTGGAAACAGTCTCAGTAAAATATTATTGGAGTAAAAAAGCCTCAAGACTCTAAAAAATGCTGGTTCTTCAAGGGATTTTCAGTAAAGAAAATTGTTCTATATAGAACCATGAACACTCAAAGAACATTCTATATGATTAAAGGGCATAAAAATATTCTTCAGATTAATGGAGAACATACTGTAGATTTTTCCAGAAAAGGGTTCAAAAAGACTCTTAGTAACATGACATGCTACTTCACTCTTAAATTGTTGATGTGTTACTGATATTCTGTTAAGAGTTTATTAATCACCTACAAAGGACCGCTACAAATAGTGTTACTCCCTGTGTGGCTTAACACACAAAAGATCTCAGCCTTCCAGCTCCTGGAAAAGCTTTGTTGCCACCTACAGGCTGAGGTCAGCAACTTATTGATTTAACAAATATTCATAAACAGTGTTGAACATTTGACAGCGGCATTAATTACGAAACACACGGGCTCTTAAGAGTTAAGAGTTGCATTGCATTAACATAAAAATAAATGGTACAAAGGTCAACAGAAGTGGGCAGAGAAAGTGTGGAATTTTTTTAACCTCAGCCTACTTACATTTCAGCCATGTGAATAAATGAATGAATGAATGAATGAAATAATTAATGAGTTTTTAATGAATTATTAATTAACCCCATATTAATGAGTAAAATAAATGAATAACCTCTATACATTTTGTAAGTAAAAAGTAGATATTTTAACCTATCAATGCATAATACAATGTTAATTTTTATTCAAGGCAAAAGTATGTAGAAAGAGAAAAAATAGTATGTAAGAATTATGATAATGCAATAAAAAATTGACATTCAAATAATAATAATAATAATAATAATAATGAAAAAAAAGCATAGTTATAAGGAAACAAATCAGGAAAACATGGCACATAATACAATAGAAGAGTACAGCACATTATCTGGCTAGCCAATAGCAGAGTAAGATGGACAAGACTGAGAGAACAGGTGAGTCTATAACTGGGATTTAAAGGCTCAGATTGGGGAGACGCTACTGAGGTTTAGTGGGAGTTTTTTGTTCCAGAGTTTAGGCACCTCAGCACTGAAAGATCTGCCACCTATGAAAGAGAGATGAAACTTTGGAACCACAAGTAAACCCTGACAAGAGGATCTGGGAGTTTGGGGCTTAAGGAAGGAGTATATGGTTGCCACTCAAACCTGTAAGATCACAGGACACTCAATCAGTGGCTTATTTTTTTTATTTAATTCAGCAAACAAGTAGCTGAGCTCACCATGCAGTCTATGTTATATAGATGTCGGTTCAGCTACAGAACCTAATCTTCTACGTTATCCAGTTGCATTGCTGCGTATTCGGACTCCATGTCCCCTACCTCCTCCAGTACATGAGAGAACTTCTCCCAGTGGTGGGAGTTAAAATCGTTCCCAACTGGGGCCTCTGCCACTTGTTCCCAGCACACCCTCACTATTCTCTTGGGCCTACTGAGTCTGACCATCAATCTTCCCTGCCATCTGATCCAACTCAACACCAGATGGTGGTCGGTTAACAGCTCAGCACCTCTCTTCACCTGAATGTCCCGAACATATGGTCACAAGTCAGATGAAATGACAACAAAGTCGATCATTGACCTTTGACCCAAGGATCTCTGATACTAAGTACATACTAAGTATACTAAGTACTTACAAACATCCCTGTGTTCAAACTTGGTGTTTGTTATGGACAATCAATGACTAGCAGAGAAGTACAATAACAATTCACCATTCAAGTTTAGATTGGGCAAGACTTTCTTCCCAATCACCCCTCTCCAGGGAGGAGTTTAGCAGAACTTTCGGTTGGCTTAAGGGAGATTCTGAATAACCGTCCGGTGACTCAGGAGTGGTCAGGGTGGCTTCACTCAAGCTTTACTCAGCAGGGGTGGAGAAGCTTTGACTTCAAATGAGGATACTGTCAGTCGGGGATGGAGCACTTTGAGGAGCTCCTAGAGAGACAAGCCTCCCTCACAGGAGTCACAGTCAGAGACTTGTGGTGTGTCAGACTCCATTTCACTGGTGGAAGTCATTTAGGTATCTGATAAGCTCCTCGGTGGCAAGGCACTGGGAGTGAATGAGATTGTCCCAGTAAATGCTTAAATGTCCCCTTTTTAAGAACACACCTATTGTCATGAACTTTGGGTAATGACAGAAAGAATGAGATTGCAGATAAAAGCAGCAGAAATTAGCTTTCTTCACAGGGATGCAAGCTACACTACTTGATAGGATAAGGAGCTCGGTCATCTGGGAGGAGCTCTACCACATTGAGAGAAGTTGAGGTGGTTCGGGCATTTGATCAGGATGCCCCCTGGCCATCTCCGGGTGGAGGTTTACCAGGCATGGCCTACTGGCACAAGGCCCGAAGGTTGTCCTTGGACCCAGTGGAGGGATTATATCTCCCGGTTGGCATGGCGTTAGCACCTTGGGGTCCCCTAGAATGAGCTGGAGAAAGTTGTCGGGGACAAGGTCATTTAGGATTCTCTGTTCTCCCAACTGGTGCCTCGACCCTATCTGGATTAAGCAGTTTAAGATGATGATGATTATGATTGCTGCCTAAACATGTCACCTTTCCCAAACAGTTGTCCCTACATTGAGGGTAATCTGAACTAATCAAACCCATTTTTTGTAAACATATGTTTAATTTGTTAAAAAAAGCAATTTGAACTTCATAAAAAATACATTCTGGGAAATCCTTGATGGTGGCAACCATAATGTAGTAGCTCGGACAAATATGTAGGGCTTTATGATTGAGTAATTGTATATTGTATGCAAGAAGTACCTTGTAACCAGTGAAAATTTTGGAGGATGTGGGTACTTTTTTTTTTGATGCATTTGAACAATAGCTGCAGAGTTTTGAATATACTGTAATTCTTAATATATTGTTTTGAAGGGCAGGTCAATGGAAAGGACAATGGAAAGGGTTTTCCAGTAGTCAAAATGAGAGGTTATAAATGAACAAGAGTTACTGTATCTTTCTTGTGTTGTGGAGAGTTGTGCAGTGTTGTGAAGATGGAGAAAAGCAGTCTTGATTAACGGCTCAAAATACCACCAAGGCTCCAAACAACCAAGGTAGGTTTAACCAGTACACCATCCTCATCAATAGTCAAATCTGAATGCCTATTTTCTAGGGAACTGGAACTAACTAGTTAGATTTGTAGGGCTTGTAAAAGTTTAGTAACAAAATTAGCATGCAGCTGGTGAATGAGCATCATGATATTTGACTTTCCTCTTGTAATCTCAATCCAACTTGACATTGGTCATCTGTTTCCAACCAACCTAAACAAGACCAGACCAGACAGAAAGAATACTCATTTATACCAATCAACCGCAGGGCTGCACACATCTGAACTCATGATTAAGTGTCAATTATGTTATGTTTTTACTTGCACATTAAGTTATTTTTAGTTATTATTATTAATATCATTAGCATTATTAGTATCATTACATTTTCATAGTCAGGAGATCCATCTTCATCATAAGTCATGTAGGCATCATCAGCAGAATCGGTATGAACATTCTGTAAGAGGAGGTGAGGGGGGGGGAGAGAGAGAGAAAGAAAGAGAGAGAAAATCACATACAAAATGACTGACCTATAGCATGAAGAAATGCTCAGTACAAATATAATAGCTTGAAAATACAGAATTTGAAGGGAATTTCACCAAAAGTTCTGCATATTTAAATGGTTAGGATGCAAAAAAGTAATTCAGAGTGTTTTACTGTGAAATTCTCCACGTCAAAGAAAAGAATCAGAATTATTCACAGAGATGGTGATGGAAACCAGATGTCTGAAGCATTTAATGCCTTTAAAAGCTGCCCCACAGTAAGTTATTACATGGAATAGTTACGAATATGCTGCCTGATGTCTGAGCCAATTTTTTTACAATAGTTTTGACATTTTTTACAGTATTTTCAGAGCAGGGAGGTGCACATAGGGCATTATGAGGCAAAAAAGTGTACAAATATTTAGATTTACAACGATTTTACTGTCATCACCATCACATTTGTGGTGACCCTTGGATCCCATCACCACCATTATAAAGAAGTTTGTCTGCAAACGTTACCACATCAAATCACTCTAAATGATGTTTTCAGTGATGTATACATCTCAACAATTGAACTATGCAGAAATTTAGAAAAAAAAAAAAACAGAAATTAATAATAGTAAATGGAAACATAGATAATAACTCACAGTACTTCCACTGTTGATTTTTATGACATTTAAATGCTTTGCCCTTTATGACATTAAATGCTTTCTTCAGATTTTCCACCATTTTATCATCATCAATATCACATATAAAACTCAGAAGACACATGTAGGTGGTTTTGAATACTAAATAAAAATGCTGTAATTGTGTTGTACACATCATAAGCTCTGGTTCCTATCACCACCACTGGAAACCTGAGTCTCTAAAATGAACCATTTCATGTCAAACCACTCTGAATGACTCTGAGGACCAAGACATTGGTGGAATAAAATGTTATTTTAAATTAAAATGTTACTCACAGCATACGGTTCATCAAGACCATGGGGTTTGTCATCAGGAGCCACATATGTGTCGTCAAGAGCATTGTATGTGTCACGAAAGGGTGAGCCTGTATCTTTAAGAGCTACATGTGCATCTTGACCTGCAAGGTATGTGTTGAGAACTGTGTTGTTGTTATCACGGGGCCTGGACAGAGCTACCTGTGTAAAAATGAGAGAGGAAGTCACTATTGATGTCACTGATTTGAAATGAATGAAAAGCAGTGGTGGACGAAGTACACAAATCATGTACCTGAGTTAAAGTAGAGATACCCAAGGTAAAATATTACTCCTGTAAAAGTAGAAGTTCCTCCCTTTAGACCTCCACTTGAGTAAAAGTACAAAATTTCCATCAAATGTACTTAAGTGTAACGGGTTTTGCAATTTTTAATATTATTATTGCTGGAACCTTATGTGAGGGTGTGAAGTAACCTGGATTTATTTGAAGTCTACAGACCAGGGCAAGAGAGAGAAATGCTCGCACCAAGGATGCTTCAGAAAAGGGAATTTATTGGCTAAATATCAAACTACTTTTGGACTACATTCAATGATAAACAATAGAAAATAAAACAAGAAAACAAAACAAAACAAAGTGATAGTAATGAAAGACAAAATAGCTCGAGTAAGTTAGAGTGATTCACGGCTAAATGGTATGAGGCAGTGTGGTTTTGGGAAGTCGCTTGGGAGAGCCTCTAGAGAATTAACCTAAGCCTGGACGGGAAGAACTATATGGCTGGAGGTACCTATAAAAGTTCTCTTATTAAATAAATTGGCGTCAGGGCCCTGACTGCAAATTGATGGTTCCAGCTTACGTGGGAGTCCGGGGCTGACTTCAGGCGGGGTCGTCTCAGGACAGACTCGATCGAAGGCTGGAGCTCACGCGGTGGTTCCTCTCCTAGCTGGCCGTGGATGCTGCATCTCCGTGTGGGCACGCACCTTCCTGTCAGTGATTGGGCGGAGGCGTCTCGTGGCTGTCTGACGGTGGAGCTTGGGCGGCCTTTCGAGGGTCGATCTGTTCACAGATCAGTGCGTGGCTCTGGGTGCGATGCTGGGTCTCCGTGGCGTCAGAACCGCTCCCACTCCGCTGGCGAGGTTCAGGTTGCAATCAGGGTTCTGAGGCTGGTGGTACCAATTTAACTAAGTACCCCTCTTTAGCAGAATCGAAAGTTATGGATATATTCTCCCTGGCCCGACAAGAAATATCCACCTTCCTTCTCTGAGGGTGGTTCAAACTTAAGGTGTGTAGGCGAACAGGCAAGTTACAAAACAAACAAAGGTTTCAGATCTGATAATTTAGCGTCCTAATACTTCTGACCTGTCTTCCTGACCTAGGCCGGCACAAACTTAGAAACTTGTTGCGAACGCAGGAACTCCCCCAAATTTACGGTGCACTCTGGTTTTGTTCGGCTGGAGGCCCTACCCTTTGGAGGTGGTGCCAGAGTGCTGATAGGTTGACTAGCTTGTTTCCCACTCTGATTGGTTGTGCATAATTTGAGGAATACCTTCCCCAAAATCACTGCCTCCTTTGTTTCAGCTAGTTTAAACAAAGAAAAAGAAACATTCCTATATCATCTAATTGGTTTAACTTTCAAAATCAAGGAATGAACAATTTAGATATTCAGGCATATTTCTAAAAGAGAGTTTAACCCTTGTTACCTGATACACAATACATGTCAAAGAACACAGGTACTATTTGCCTATCATCTCTGAACATGACCCAATGCATGAAAAAAATAAAATCAACAATAAAAGGAAAGGAACAAAGGAAGAAAAGAAAAGAAAACCACATTCAGGATACATCTTGGTCAATGGTCTAAACTCATAGCAATTAACTGGTTGGGTCTGACTGTTATCAAAGTTATACTCTACGTATTTCTCGCACTTAACTGAAAAGATACAGGTAATATTTAGCTACTACCCAACAACAAGATTAATACCACAAGTAGTATTACTTACAGATCATAGCAACTTTGATAATCAAGGAGACAAAGCATGAATCATCAAGCAGAATCAAGCAGACAAAGCACGAAGTTTTTTTGTTTTTTTATAAACACAAGTCCTTATGGTGATGATGTGGTAATTTGTGGTTTCACCCCTTGGGGGTGCTGTGGGTCCATACTTGAGATCCCTAGGGAATTTAGAAAGTTGGAATTTTGCCGTCCAAAGCCGTACAAATTCTGTTTTGGTATGTCTAGTTTAGTTAAAAAGAGTTCTAACGAATGGTTGTAGTTTGGAGGGGACAAACACCTTAGAAATGTACTTTCTGTTACTTAAGATAAAAAGTTGTCCACAGGATTTTGGAGAGCCGTGCATCTGCATTCCAGTGAAGGGTCCTGTTTTTCTCCAGGTCAAAGGAGAGGGGTGCAGCCTCTTGATTCAGCCGTAAATCTGACTGAGACTGGGGTTGGGGTATTAAGCCGACAGCTTTATACCACAATCCCAGACTTGATGGAGCCAAAAGGCCCTTAACTTTTGGGGAAACACTCTGCCGGAGGTAAAGCCAGTGTTCGCTACATAAGTATTGAAAGTAAAAGAACTAAAAGTTTAATTATGGCTCTGATGTCCTATTATAATGTTTGTAACAAGACTCGCTTCATTAACTCATTTGAGGTGAAAATACTCCAGTGTCACTCTTGGTAAATCAATCTTTTAATAGAATGTCATTAATTAGTGACGCTGATGTCTATTAAAATGATCATAAGCACAAAACACTGAAGGGATTAGGTAGAACCGAGTGGCTCTGAAATAACTTTTTTGCAAACAAGCAAAGCTTCAGTTTAAGATTTATTTGCAACTTAGTTACGAGTTTAATAAAAAACTTGCTTTAAACACAGGTTCAGAAATGAGTTTTTCCTTTACTATACTGTTCATAAACATAAACTAGCAAAAACAAATTTACTATAAAATGAAATAGTGTTTGCATGAATTCTGAAAAAAGACACGTCAGTCACAACTGCATATGAGTACATATTTCTATATTGTGCTCTATTTACACAAAGTTAGGTTAGTCCATCATTTATGTTGAACAGACGCTCTCAAAATTTTACGCTGCTGCACTGATGTTGAACTGTATGATTACACTGGGTTGGTATGACCAACAGGTCAAAACAAGCTCAAAACAAAGTGCGCGCTGTGCCCTGATTGGTGTTCTTGCTTCGTGCTTCCTTTGTTTTGACATGTTACGTTTTTATACACACATAAGCCAAAGGAACGACAGATTTTGCATAAGGTAGTGGAGTAAAAAGTAAGATATTTGACTTTGAAATGTAGTGGAGTGAAAGTGAAAAGTCACCCAAAATGGAAATATTTCAGTAAAGTACAGAAACACAAAAAAACTACATAAGAACAGTAATGAATTACATTTACTTGTTACTGTCCTCCACTGATGAAATGAAGTATGACTGATTTAAAGTGAGTTTTACCAAAGTGAATAGTTGTGTATTCAATAAAATAAAATAAAATCTGGACTAACACCACTAACAGATCATCACTGACATAAAAAACCTCAATTTAATGAATGTGAATTACTTACAAGAGGTAGAGTGTAAACTTCTTTACAGTGTTTGGAACCACAGTCAGGTGAAGCAGAATCATCAACAGGGGGAACATTCTTGAGGAATTGAGTAAAAGAAGTCATTGTTGATTAATATTTTCTTCAGAGCTATGTACACTGTCTGTGTGTGTGTGTGTGTGTGTGTCTCATGTAATAATAACTAATAAAAGTAGTAGATCATTTATATGGTTTCATGTTATATAAGCAAACCATAAACAACAAACAAATTTATCAACCAATAATGACTTGAATCAGGTGCTTTAGATGCAGAGAAATGGGTCAGAATAGAGAACCCATGCTTTAGACTAAGAGCTATTAAACCCACAAAGTACACTATAAGCCACAAATGCAGGACAGAAGTTATTTTAGATGCTTACCTGAACTTTTCGTTTAACCCGTCTGATCATCAAAGAGACAAAGCACACAATGATCACAGTTCCAATACATGCTATTCCCACAATCACAAAGACAGTCGTGTAACTGGGAACTGGAAATCAGAAACAAAAACCACAGTAAACATCTCAGTTTTGATTTCATCCAGGCCAGTTAACTGAAACGGCTCATGCTGTAATAATTTTAAAGACTAAAAAGATGTTTGACCTGTATGTAGCAATAAAGCCGCAGATGCCTTCTGTTTTCCGAGTTCATTCCAAGCTTCACAGTGATACCACCCTCTGTAATCAGCAGTGATGTTGATGATGCTGTAATTCTGTCCAGATCCTACAGGTGAGGTTCCACCTTCTTTAAACCAGGTGTAGTTCTTCACAGGTGGGTTTGCATCACTGCTGCAGGTCAGAGTCACTGAACTGCCCTCCACTATTTCACCAGAGGGACTGATGGACACTGAAATACTCTTTGGGGGATCTGCAACAAAAAGGAGTATAAGATACATATATGAAAATGTACTAATTTATTTTATTTCTAGTACAAACTGCCATTAAGAAGAAGATGTTACATTTTCAGGAGATATTACCAAATTGTGCAGATATAAAATTGCTCTTATTTTTACTCCTCTTTTATTTCTCTCAGAGGTTTTCTATTGGGTTTAGATAAGGGGAGTGAGATGGCCAGGGCAGAACAAAAAGATATATATATAAAAGTTCCAGCCACTAATGTGGCTGCAGTGCTTTTGGAAAGTAGCGATGAGGAGAACATTTACCTACTATTTTATTTATACATTCAACTTTAATTTTTTTCTGCTTTTGGGCCCAATTATCTCTTTACACAGTGCTCTAGATCAAAACGGCCTCATCATGTAGAGAGTTGAGATTGTTCTGAACATTTTCATATATAATATGTTATCATGTTGTATGCTAGTGCCTTTAAAGGCAAATTTAAGAATATATGCAAAAATCAAGAAAATGCCCTCAGACCCAGAGGGGGCCTAGTATTAGTGGATAAGTAATGCATGTATTTATGTATTTATTTATTTATTTTTCTAATCCAAGAAGCTTATTTTTCCAGATTTTTTCCTGATGCTGAAAAAAAGAATAACTTTAACTTTACGTAATGTCAGATTTCACTTGAAATTGAATAAATGGAATTTATGAAAAATGCTAAAATGGAGCTGAATAAATTATTATCAACTTACACAGAATGTTTAAATACATAGCGGTGGAGTTTGTGTCTCCTTGTTCATTCCGACTCTGGCATGTGTATTCTCCACTGTCCTCAGAGCTGATGTTGGGAATGCTGTAGGTTTTTCCTTTTGCTACTGGTGTTGATCCTTTGAACCAGGTGAAGATCTTCAAAGGTGGGTGTGCCATACTGCTGCAGGTCAGAGTCACTGAACTGCCCTCCACTATTTCACCAGTGGGACTTATGGACACTGTGACTCTCTTTGGGCGGTCTGCCAACAGAAAATGGGAAAAAAAATAACAAAAAAATGCAACTGGGTCTAAATAATGGCAGTTAATTGTACAGCAATGCAGTGAAACTATAATATTACTGAATGTAATGGAACTGCACTGTTTGAAATTAGAGCGATGCGGCATAACAGAGAGAGCACAACTACAATTACAGCCAAGATATCACAACTGGTAATGCAGAGACATGATCCCATTCTGTACAGACAGAAAATAAGGTAAGAGTTCAATGGCTAGTTGCTGGTCAAAAGCTTATCATTAGTTTATTGTAACTACATCATGAATGCTAAAACTGAATTTTACCTTCAGTTTTCAAATTCATCTTTAAACTCTTTCAAATTCTGGGAAACAGTTCATTTACTCAAAAACACTTAGTGCCTCTTCCAACCTATATTTTAATTAATGGTCAACAAATTTATGATGCGAAAGAGCTCTGCAAAGTATTTAATACTCACTCTGCAGCTGCTGAACATTTATTTGATGATACTAGTATGGAAGCACCTCTCAATGAAATAGTTACACCCCCTGCTGTAAGACAAGGTCTCTTTACAATTCACCCTTTCTCTCCTCCATAGTAGCTAAAGCCTTCAACACCACCAACACTAAAAAAGTGCAGGATAGGATAGTTTGGACGCTTTTTTCTGAAGCCTGTCACTCTGATCATTTTAGAACAAATTACATCATTTCAGTGTATCTGTTTTATAAAGCATAATTCCCAGCACATGTAATTCCACTGCACAGAGGAAGTGGTGCATCAGATCTTAATAACTATAGTCTCAAAATTGTGAAGCTTAGCCAAAATCTTAGAATCCTTAGTGAACAATTTCAGACATTTCTCTATGGTAATTTAGTCTTTTCAGACTACCAACCTGGTATTAGAGAAAAACATAGCATAAATATTACGTAGTGATTTTCATTAATCCCTCTGAAATTTCCCTACTTTTACAGAGTCTACAAAATATTGGTTTTGACCACAGGGTTGCCAACTACTGTAGATTAGAAATTATCTCTTCAGTAGACAGTGATTAATGGTGTTGCCACCTCCACTGTCAATTGCAAAATATATTAATATGCTGATGACACCATCTTGTACTGCTCAACTGATTATTGGTACTGCAGTGGAAAGACTGAAACATCCTTTTAATGCCCTACAGTCAACTTTTTACAATGATAAACTTGTCTTAAATATTGAGAAAGGTAAATTTATGCTGTTTTCCAGAGCCACTAATATTAATTTTAACACTTTTAAATCGCAACCCTGAAAGGATTCTGATATTGAAAGAGTTGGTGAGTGCAAATACCTTGGCAAATAGTTAGATGACAAATGCACTTTTAATGTAAACTGAGGCAAATCTTGGATTCCTGTATTTAAAAAAAAATTTACACAAGGATTGTTGAAGCAATGCTTTTATATATCCTGGATTATGGTGATGTGATATGCAGATATGCATCTGTAACTACTCTAAAACCTTTAGTCTCTGTACACCACTCTGCTTTAAGATTACTGGTGTCCTGTACCTATCACTGTGTACTGTATGAAACAAACGATTAACAATGTCCTTACTATTTGGTGCAACTTGGGTATTGAGATATTTAAAGATTTATACATCATCATCAGTACCTAGGGTCACTGGGCATTTCAGATCTTTGAACTATCAGACACCCTCTCCCAGCTGACCAGCGCTGATCAAATCCCAGCCTGTATCCAAGTAGCATGCTACAGAACGCCTCTCTTAATCCAGAGCCATGTTAAGCCTTTCTCAGTTGCCTCAGTTGTTTCTCTGATGGCTATTCTCTTGTCCTGCCTTGTAATGCCCAGGAGGCTGTAAGCTTTACAAAGTGAGTAGCCCACAAAGCCTCTGCCAGCAACTTCTATAGGCATGCATGTAGCACGCTACCCTCCTCTCCGGCACTGTTCCACCAGATCCACATATTTGGCCTTTTTCCTCTCATTGACCTCCACCATTCTCTGCTGCCATGATACACTGAGCTCAAACAGTAGCATTTGCTTTGTTTTTCTTGAGAAGAGGAAAATATTAGGGTGCAGGGTGGTCTCTGTGATTGTCTCAGGGCAACGGAGCTGCCTTCCAAGATCCACCTTCAGGTGCCAATCCTTTGCTGTAGTAAGTATGCCCCTTGCTACTCTGGTTTAAAACTCTGGAACCTCTCTCGCTGGGAGAAATGAAACAGTTTTCTGGGACCAAGGGGATTACTAAAGGTTTCTGCTATCACCTTCATGACGTCAACGATAGCAATCTTCCCTTGTGCTGTGGGGCAACAGCTCAGGATGTGTTCCAACGTATCTCTTCTTTGGCAACACTGGCAAAGTGGTGTTTTACTCTTGCCCCAACAGAAGATGTTGGATGGACTGGGCAACACGTGCCTCATAGAGAGAACTGAAACTTGTCAGTAACCTTCCCTCTTTTTAGCACCAGCAACCTGGAGTTTGGAGATTGGAAATTTAAATTCTGGTAGTAATCCAAAATGAGGTTCTTGAACTTACCTGGAATCTAATGTTGGTGCAAGGCTGTTTCTACTAGCTTGTGGGGAAAGTACCCATAGGCATTCATAAGATCCAACCACAGCACCACCAGGTCACCAGGCCTCTCTTATTAACTGTATAATTAGCATGGTATGTTCCAAGCACCCTGGTGCCCCTGGTATTCCACCTTTCTGTACTGAGGTGCCAGTGTACTTGTTCTTAAGAAGGTACTCTGTTAGACACTGGGCAACAGTACTGAAAAATATCTTACTCTCAACACTTAGCAGTGAGATGACTCTGCTCAACATGTCTCGGATGTTCCTTCTGTAGGTTCTTCCACAGGCAGTGTATAAGCTTAGGACGGTTCTTATACACTACAAAGGGGACTCCACTGGGACCAGGTGCTGATTTAGATTTAGCTGCCCTAACGACTTCTTGCTTCTCCTTCCAACTTGGCTCTCGACTGTAGAAGTGGATGGTGGGTGGATTTGCCCAGACTCTCTTGTTGGATCACAATGTGTTGTGGAGATACTGGTCAACCTCTTACATCAAGCAAGAGAGATCACCACTGTGTTTCTAGCCTAGATGTTTCTTGACAAAGCCAAAGAGTCAACAATCTCTTCCTGAAGATGGTGCACAACTCAGTGAATGCAGACTTCTCCTCCTCACTGGCCATAGTTTGCCAAAAATACATTGCCACAGTTTCCTAATTTATACTCCACTAGACATATTCTTAACACTAGCAACTGCTATGAAGGTTTAATTTCAGGTCCTCGTGAATAGGTCCACTCTTTATGATTAGCTTCTCTTTACATTATTAAATCCCTTTGAGAAGTAGAACTAAGAGAGGACATTTCACAAGTACTTTGTGATTGAGAAATTTAGATGCACAAAGTTTGAACATATAGAAAATTTGTCCCCCCAACTTCCTTGATGATGTAGTTTTTATGATGTAGTACTTTCTAATATATAAACACAGTCGTACTGCCATATGTAAAATTAGTACAATAGACTTAATAATTACAGTTTTAAAACGTGTAGACATTTATTTATTTATTTATACAGTTATTTACATACTTGTTTATTCATTCTTCAGTTTATTATTATCTTCTTTTTTATGCTTTTTTTGTTTGGGTTGTTTATTCATTGTATAATAATAACAGCAATAAAAAAATGTTAGATTTTGTTCATATTTTAAATAAAAGACTAAAAATATAAGCAATAAACAATGTTTTTTCACATTTAAGTTTGTTAATGGCGCTATATAACATCTGTCCTGGGATATTTTGTGGCAGGGTTATATCAGTGTTATGTAGCAGGGTTCAAGTAAAGTGATAGTAGTGTTTGCTACAAATAGGGACCTGTGGTACCTCAATTTGAATTAAGCTAAAGTTTACTATTCTGTGAGTATTAAAGTATTTTCATCTTTAAGTTCAACATATAAAATACTCACATCTAACACTGAGCTTCTGAGCAGTAGATTGGAGATGTTGATGTCCTCTTACAGCACAGCTATAACTGCCTGCATCCTGACTGCTGACTGTCTCCAGGTGGAGCTGGTTCTTCGTGATGGTCTTTGTGGTTAAAGGACGTCCATTTTTGTACCAGATGAATGTTGGGTCAGTCAGACTGCAGGTGGTTTTACATGTCAGATCTGCTGTTTCTCCCTCTGTCACTTCTTCAGGAGTTTCTACATGGAGGCATGTGTGATTGGCTGCAGTTCCTTCTACCATTCTCCCAGGAATATTTACTTGGAGTTCTGGGAACAAAGAGACGTTCTCTTGAAATTTCCTGCATACTTCAAATTAAAGGCAAATAATATTTCTCACCTGTATACCAACATGTTCTAGATTCTATTGAATGCTGCTACTTAACACGTTAGCAAGACATTTGTCTGTCTTTTATTTAATAAAGGACTGCATATCTATAGAAATCTGATTTTTTTTTCTCTTTCAAACATAAAGTTCTCTTCATACCCACCATACTCCAAGTAAAAAACATAATAATAATGCAAATCCAATTCCAAAAAAGTTGAAAATGCATGAAATGCTAGTAAAATCAGAGAGCAGTGATTTGTCAATTCTGTTTGACCTGTCCTAAATTGAAAACAGTACAAAAGAAAAGAATATATTTGTTTTATCATCATCAACATTATAATTTCCGTAAATATATGCTCATTCCAAACATGATGCCTCCAACACATTAAAAATTTTTCTCCTGTTCTCTGAAATATAACTGGCTAGTGCATTTGATCTGACCCAACTGGAGCTCAGAGTTGCCTTGTGTTTCATCCAGTAACAATCCTGTCATTACAGTATTAACAACAGTGGCCTGACCAGCAGGTTAATCTAAGCAGAAGTAGGTTACTCTAGGCAGAAGTAGATTTCAAGTGCCTCCCAGGTTTGAATTAATGTAAAATAATCACTTTTTCCTTGTAAGTTAAGAATTGTATCCTCCTTATATCATTTACAGTATTTAAGTTGAATAGATCTGATAAAATTGATTACCTCATGAAGTATTTTTTTAGGTTTAACTGATGACCTAAAAAACAGTGTATTGACCTTTACAGACATATGCAAATGTTTGAACACTCCTAGGTAAATTATTATATATTATGTATATTTTTAATATTATTTTTTATATCTGAACATTTGCACATGACTGTATAAGAGATGTCATATTCTGGTCCTTTTCCCAGCACAGTTTAATGATCTTCTTGCTCAAACACACCACCGAACACCTAACAACTACATCAACTAATTATTTAATTAATCTGATGGGCAGGACATGTGAGCAGGAAAATCACCAAACTGTGCTGGATTGAGGGGCAGATTTACTAAAAGATGAAAAGTTAACATAGCAGCAAGTGTATTGCTGCCAGAGGGACGCAGAGAATAGCCAACCAAACAGTGGCAGGAGGCACTGCTAGACCAGTCCCTGCCACCAGATGGAGGCAGAAGGCAGCCTCCTAGGCAATCACTGGCATTTGCACCAACTGTGTGAGCTCTACTTAAAGGGGAACTCCACCAATTGTTCAAAATTTCTGCATAGTAAAATGGTTAAGATGTAAACAAAGTCTTTCAGAGTGGTTTGATGTATCAAGTTTACAGAGAAAATTACTGAGTCAGACTTGTCTATAGTGGTGTTGAAAGGAGCCAGACACCTAAAGAGCGTAATTCTTCTAAAATCAGAAAGCGATTACACAAAATGGTTATGAATATGCTGCCTGATGGCTGAGACATTATTTTATGATAGTTTTGTGATAAAATTATGGCCTAAAATGTCTTGTTAATATGTTTATTTTAATCTATTCATTGTGAAGGGGTACATAAAGGGGGTTGTGAAGCAAAATAGTAACCCCAAACCTTATTTTTTTCAGATTTTCCACTATTTCACCATCATCAATATTCCATATGAAAACTCAGAAGACACATGTAGGTTCACTGGGGGTTCTGCACAGTAAATAAAATGGCTATATTTGTGTTGTAGACATTGTCACCCCTGGTTTCTATCACTAGAAAAGGAATCAGAGTCTGTAACTTTCTCTACAGCAATTTTATATCAAACCACTGTAAATGATTTTGTTTACATCACAATGATGGGACATTTTGGAATTCCTCTTCAAGGAGAGCTCTCCCTGTGCCTTGTGCTCAGATTTTAGTCTGCTGTGCTGTAAGCTGGTATCTCTCTCTGGCTGGTAACTTTGGTAAAAAAAAAACTCTTCTCCAGTCTCACCTCTGGTATACCATTGGTTTCTTTTAAGTTTGTTTTGGGAGTCAGTTTTCAGCTCTGGATCTGGCCCTAAATCGGCTACTTGCTGGTGGCTCACCCAATAAACTTGCCTTCCACCCCCTGGGATTCAAAACAGACATGTGGCGGCCAACACATCACAATCTTTTAAATCTATATTTATATTCAAATAATGACTTATTTTCTTGAGATTTTAAATTAAAACATTTTGTAGTGGGTTATTACTAGTGAATTTTCATCCAGAAGTGGTAAACACATCACATGCAGTGTACTCTTGTAACCATTCAGCAGAAGTCAGACACGTGCGGATTAAAGGAGTAAAAAAGGTTTTATTATCTCTAAGCAGGTTCGTAGTCGATACACAGGCAGGGGTCAAAACCAAAAAGCGGAGCAGGATCACAATGGTGATCATAACACAAGGCGAACAAAACAAAAAGGACAAGGCAAGAGACGTGGTCGAAAAACAGGCAAGCAAGCTTCACAAAACACAGATCGAAAATACCGGGCAACAGTACAAAAAGGGGCAGGCAAAAGACAAAGTAATGAACGAAGCTAAGTTTGGATGATCAGAAATAAACAGATAGAAATGAACGCTCAGTAAGTTCACTGGGAAACAATACCTCGCACTGAAAAAAAAATCTGTGGCACATTATGAAGCACAATACATGACATTTTAACAACTATGATTATTGTTGTCCTCAGTCGCCAAACGATTACTGAACACTGTTAAAAGGAAAGGTGAGGTAACACAGTGGTAAACATACCCCTGTCCCAATTTTTTTGGAATATATTGCATGTATGAAATATAGAATATGCTTACATATAGAAAAACAATTACTTTAACTGGTTGAAATATCTTGTCTTAAGATTAGTTTTCAGTTGAATATAAAATCTTATAAGAGATAACTTGACATCATAACAATAGTAGGACCCTTTTTGGTGCTATATAGAACTATTTTCAAAAAGGTTCTATACAGACCCACATGCAATGCATTCTCCATCAATCTGAAGAACAATGTCACAATGCAAAGAACCCTTTAAGCATGCAAATGGTTTTTTGAGTATTCATGGTTCTATAAATTTTATTTTATTTATTAAAGAACCCTTGAAGAACTCTTTTTAAAGAGTGTAGGTCAAAAAGAATTTGCAAATTATTGCTGTTTTATTTCCTATTGTTTATTGGAATTAAGTTTATACCACATCTGAATCAGTAAGCAAAATTCCAGATGAGGTACTATTTGTCCGTTTGAATTCTTGTGATATAATGTGTAGGAGTCTCTTCACAGAGTAGGAGGAGCATTCACTAACCTGATGTGAGCAGAATGAGGAAAAGGAGGTGGCAAGACAGACCAGACGCCATCTTGATTGACATCTCACCAGTTCATATGCCACCTAGAGACACCGCTTTAAATGACAATAATCATGATTGTTCTGTCAGCTGAATCACAAAATCATAGTTTATCATCTGATGCAATTATGAAACGCAAACATCCAGCACAGAAACAGTCCTATGCAAAAGCCTCAGGCAGTCATTAAAATAGTATGAAGCTTTTTTCTCAGCAGTGTTTTTGCATGGAGGAACTGTATATAACACTGAATAATATAAATACACTTAAATAGAGTAAAAAAAAAAATGTTTTCTTAGTATCACTATTAGTATTCTTAGGTCATAGAAGTGGGTAATAAAACTTTGGGCACCATTTAAGAGGTTAATTGAAGTATTGATCCAATAAACTAGGTAGGCTCTTTTAAATTCATGCACACTAATTTGGAAATGATTAAGCCAACAAGTCGACACTTTTTGACACACAACAACAGTTGACACAAGTTAATAATGTATGATGAAGATAACAGAAAAGTTCAAACACTCTATGAATCCACACATATCATAAGGATAGTACTTGTTTATTACATTCAATGATATTTGTTTAGCTTTATAAAGAATGTCTTAATGTAATTTTAACTGATTTCAAAAAAATGAATCAAAAATAATTTCCCAGATGCTTACCTCTACTCTACTTGTCCACTGACAGAGTTTAGAAGTTATGTCTGAGGATGTGGTTAGCACTATTAACATACCCCCCAGTTCCTGGTTCTTTTTCTGTATCTGTATATCCTGTGTTTGGGGACTGGTCGGTAGCCAGAAGAGTTTGACCTGTGTTGCTCTAAACACATAAGGCAAGATTATTCTTTGCTATTTGGACAGTGTGAGAAAGTCAGAACATTTTAAGGCAGGAAGTGGTCAAAAAACCCACATGGTTACCTTGCATATACTCATCAGCTAATGTCAGGCCAAAGTGCAGTTTATGCTCTTTGTTATCACTATGAGGCAATGCAGAACAATGAATATAAGAAATTTAATCTTGCATAAACCAGAAAGCCAGCTGTGATATGATAACCATACATACATATAAGTGTAATAAAAACAAACAGATGTTAAGAGATCATGTAGAAAAGATGTGGACTCAAGACCCTGTCCATGTGTCACTAGGCCTGCGAGGAACAGTCAATACAAATGAAAAGTTTGTTTTTCGAATGTTACCAATATGTTTGTAGTACATGGGCTGGTTTCCTAGGCTGCATTCCCAGACTAAACCCAGACTAATAAGGGTCATTTACATCAAAAAACTATTAGATACATACTTACACTATGGGGGTCAATGTGGGCAGGAGGTTAGGAAACCAACCTCGGAATGTCACCGGTTTGATACCCTGAGCCGGCAATACATGACTGAAGTGCCTTTGAATAAGGTACCTAACCCCCAACTGCTCTTCGGGTGCTGCAGATAGGGCTGCCCACCGCTCTGGACAAATGTGCTCACTGCCCCTAGTGTGTGTCTTCACTAGTGTGTATGTAGTGTTTCACTGCACAGATGGGTTAGATTGCAGAGGTGAAATTTCCCCATTGTGGGACTAATAAGGGTCATCTTATCTAATATTGCCAAAAGTATTCACTCACCTATCCAAATCATTGATTCAGGTGTTCCAATCAAGACCAGTCGTGAAATTTCCTTGTTACTAAATATTCCACAGTCAACTGTCAGTGGTATTATAACAAAGTGGAAGTGATTGGGAACGACAGCAACTCAGCCACGAAGCGGTAGGCCACGTAAAATGACAGAGCGGGGACAGCTATGCTGAGGCGCATAGTGCGCAGAGGTTGCCGACTTTCTGCAGAGTCAATCGCTACAGACCTCCAAACCTCATGTGGCCTTCAGATTAGCTCAAGAACAGTGTAGAGAGCTTCATGGAATGGGTTTCATGGCCGAGCAGCTGCAACCAAGCCTTACATCACCAAGTGCAATGCAAAGCATCGAATGCAGTGGTGTAAAGCGCCGCCACTGGACTCTAGAGCAGTGGAGACGTGTTCTCTGGAGTGACCAATCACACTTCTCCATCTAGCAATCCGGTGGATGAGTCCGGGTTTGGCGGTTGCCAGGAGAACGGTACTTGTCTGACTGCATTGTGCCAAGTGTAAAGTTTGGTGGAGGGGGGATTATGGCATGGTGTTGTTTTTCAGGAGTTGGACTCGGCCCCTTAGTTCCAGTGAAAGGAACTCTTAATGCTTCAGCACCAAGAGATTTTGGACTATTTCATGCTCCCAACTTTGTGGGAACAGTTTGGGTACGGCCCCTTCCTGTTCCAACATGACTGCACACTAGTGCACAAAGCAAGGTCCATAAAGACATGGATGAGCAAGTTTGGTGTGGAAGAACTTGACTGGCCTGCACAGAGTCCTGACCTCGACCCGATAGAACATCTTTGGGATGAATTAGAGCAGACACTGCAAGCCAGGCCATCTCATCCAACATCTGTGTCTCACAAATGCGCTTCTGGAAGAATGGTCAAAAATTCCAATAAACACACTCCTAAACCTTGTGGAAAGCCTTCCCAGAAGAGTTGAAGCTGTTATAGCTGCAACGGGTGGGCCGACATCATATTAAACCCTATGGATTAAAAATGGGATGTCACTCAAGTTCATATGCGTGTGAAAACAGACAAGCGAATGCTTTTGGCAATATAGTGTACATTCAATTTTCTGGCACATACTTTGCACAGACGACATAACTTTATTAAAAGTATCAGGAATGTACAACAATACTTACTCAGAAGTTTCCTATCAATGGAATAACTATCCCATTTACAAGTAACCTACTGTTCAAAGGTTTGCAGTCAATGTTTTCAATAATATAAAACCTGTTTGGGGCAAATAAATGTATAAAATGATGTTTTATGAATGCTAATCAATTACAACTTTGTATACAAGTTTTTACAATTACAAATAGTTAGTAGAATTAGAAATGTTAGATGTGTCCAGAATGATGAATAGAACTGTACATGACTCTGAAATAACAGTTACCATAACATCTTCTGGTTCACAGGCAGATAACTTGAAACTCTTATAAATAGGTAATTACAGTATATACTTATCCTTGAATACAATACATAAAATATTAAAAACATCTAAAATGTTTCATCTATTTAGATGAAAAGTGACTACCAACTTTTTAACAGTAGTGTAAATGATTATGTAATAATACAATTATACATTGAATTGTATTCATAGTAAAACAATAATTGAAGTTATAGTGATATAATAGTAACTTTAGCCTTCTAAGGGTTAAGAGGTCCTGAGTCATGTTCACTCCTGGCAGTCCTTGTACTGGCCACCAGAGGTCCCCATCATCAGAATTCTGCTATGGTAACTTCTGGTCATCCCCCTGGTGGCCATTCTAGCCTAATTACCTGCCATTTAGCAGCACTCTCTATCCTCCTGGTGGTTTATTTGTCTGGTGTGTATCATTATGTTTGATCAATGCCTGCTGCAGTCTTTTTTTTTTCATTTTGGACTAATCAACTGAACTGAATTTATTTTTATATCGTATTTATTATTACTAATCGGAGGGGGGTCATTACTACTCACAATGAGTTACATGTACTTATTAGTCCAAATTCAAAGGAAAAGAATCTATAAATTTTAGGGCAACACTTTCCTTGATCTCCCGCTACATAACAGTGATATAACTATTCTATAAACATGTCATGGCAGATATCATACGCTATCATTACATATTTTGTTCAGTTATATAACCGTGTTATGTCACCATTACTGGAAATTGTCATGATCTCATAATGTTTGATGTCATCACGGTTTATTTTGCATGCTAATTTATTGCTATGAACTCTAGTTAGTCATCATGTCATCTGTAATCACAGTCCCTATTAATGGTAACAGGACAGTTACATTACTGAACATAATCGTTCATGACAACTCATGACAGAATATGAAACGTGCTGTGACAGGCATAGTTATGTCAATGTTACATAGCAAAAATAGTGACCAGTTTCCTCTCTGTGTGGAGTTTGCCTGTTCTCCCTGTGTCTGCATAGGTTTCCTCCGGGTGCTCTGGTTTCTTCCCACAGTCTGAAGACATGCAGTCAGGCCAATTAGAGATGCTAAACCGCACCTAGGTGTGGCAAGGCTGAGGTGGAGACTAGGGGCAGCACATGTGAGTGGCAGCCTCAACAGTGTCGTTGGCATGGTGGATAATGGAAGTGGAAGGCGGTGAAGAGGAGCACTGTTGCTGCTGTCGTTGTCAAATGGTAGCAGCAGACCTGACGTGGTGAGCTGTGAGGAGTCTCACTGCACTCAAGAGGAGGGCACAGAGCTTTCTTGTCTCACTGTTTCAGTGCACCAATAGAGAAAATGCCCACAGAGCTGCAGTTTCGTGGCCTGCCAGGCTCAGAGCAGGACAGCACGCCCAGAGAGCAATGGCTGCCTACATGGCTGAGAAAAGGCGCTGGCATTGCAGGGAGTCATTCAAAGGGGGTCCCATGGAGACATGCAGCCCTGTTAAAAAGGGACTGTTTCTGTTGTTTATGTTGTTTGTCTAGTTAAAGGTATATGTATGTGTTTCCTGTGTTACTGTTTCAGGATGTGGGATTGTTTGTGCATAGGGGCGTCACTGGTAGCATAAAGCCTGTGGCTAATGGTCACCTCCACCATGAGTTCAGGAATATGTATGTGCCTGTTGCTTCTTCTTCTGCTATTTTACTCAATAAAGAGCTGATTTCAGTATTGATGGCTTAAATGGAATGGAATAAATAGAATTATGGCTTCATGTGACTCACAACAACCTAGTATGAGCAGAATGAGGAAAAAGAGGTAGCAAGGGAGTCGCCACCCTGACTGACATCCTACCTGTGCTGCCTAAAGACGACACTTTAACTGAAAATAATGTACAATTTTTCTGCCAGCTGCATTACAAAATCACAATTTATCATCTTGTGCAAATATGAAACCTAAATATAAAGCCCTGTTTTAAGGGAAAAAAAACTACTGTGCAAGACTTAGGCAGTCGTAAAACAATGAAGCTCTTTATCTCACCAGTTATTGGATGTAAAAACTTTGTATATGATTTTATATTCTATGTAACCTTAAAACAGATAGAAATAAACATGAATAAAGTCACATTGTCACATTGTCTCCCTCTACTGGGGATACTCCACATAGACTATCCCTGGCTCCACACACTTACAAGTGATCTTGCTTGTGACTCATTTACTGCCTTTATATGCCCACTGGTTTGGTTCAGTTGCTGTGAAGTCTCTGTGTTGTTTGACTGAGTACAAAGCTGTGTTTTCTCTATATTGTTTGTGTTCTGACCCCTCCTCCCACAAGACTTAATTGGGATTGAGATCTGGGCTTTGACAAGGTCCTTCCATAGCCCTCCATTTCTTCCTTTTGAGCCTTGGTGGATTTACTTGTATATTTGGGATCCTTATCCTGTTGGAAGGACCCAGTTTTTCAGCTTCAACCTTTTAACACATTCTCTTCAGGCTGTGTCTGGTATGAACGAGTTTACAGTCGATTCTGTGATTGAAAGTTGGCCAGACTTCTGAGGCAGCAAAGCACCCCCAAACCATAACATTTCCACCATCATGCTTCACAGTTGGTACAAGGTTCTTCTGATCAAATACTGTCTTTGATTTTTTGCACAATATGCCTTCTGGTACCTC